AAAAAACTTCGTGACTAGGAAATATTATTAGCTTTATAGTTAATTAACAGTCCTAACTAAATAAACATTATTTTATATAATATATATATATGTACATTTTAATATAAATTTTTATGCTATATTAGTACTCCATGTAATTCAGTTTTCCTTTAAAAACTGCAAATTGGTTTTAATTAAACAGATTGATTGATTGATTGATTGAAACCACAAGTAGAAAGACAGTAATAAAAAGAGACATTCGTCAATCACGCAAAAAAGAACTTGGTCGATATCTGAGTAACTTTGACTGGCAACTTATCGATTCCTCCGAACCGTGCGATAAGAATTGTGATATCTTATGCTCCGCAATAAAGACGGGTTATGACATCCTTATGCCTGAGAAACACGTTAAATTCCATCGCAACGACAACCCATGGATAACCGAAAAATTGAAACAGCTGATCAAGTTTCGACAACGTGCGTTTTCATCTAATAACACTACTCTTTTCAAATTCTACCGAAATAAAGAGAATAGAATGAGAAAATCTTGCCGGGCAGACTATTTTGCTTCAAAAGTTGCTAATCTGAAAAAGTCTAACCCCAAATCTTGGTGGACAGAGGTTAAACGTATCTCCGGTATGAGACCTGTATCTGGCAGTTTGCTTAACCAACTTCATGTCGAAGATACAGAACATTTAACACACAAAGGTTTTGCAGATTTAATTAACAAAAGCCTAATAGAACCAATGAATACTTATGATCCCTTAAATGTCACAGATTTGAACACCTTGTTTGAGGAGATTCCTGATTATCCGTTAGATGTAAACATGAATTTGACAAATACTGCATCGGTCTTGAAAAAACTGAAAAGCTTGAACCCGCATAAAGCTCCGGGCCCTGATGATATCCCCAATTGGATTCTTCGTGATTATGCCGAAATCCTTGCTCCCTCTGTATCGGACTTATTGAATTCGTCCTACAAGCAAAAAAGACTGCCCTCATGCTGGAAACAAGCTAACATTACACCTATTCCGAAAGAGAAACCTGTTAAAGACATAAGCAAACAGCTCCGACCTATTTCGTTAACTCCGGTTCTGTCTAAACTTGCAGAAGAGTTTGTTGTTGAAAAATATATCGCTCCAGCAGTGTTGTCGTCAATTGATCCTTTTCAATTTGGTGGCATCCCTCGATCATCTGCTACAAAAGCCTTAATTTCTATGGTTCATGCGTGGACTCAAGCCACAGATGGAACTGGAAACGCTGTAAGAGTGGTTCTTTTTGACTATAAAAAGGCCTTCGACTTGATTGATCATAAGATCTTAGCCACGAAAATCATCCAATTGCCAATGCCAAATTTCATTAAGCGGTGGGTAATTGACTTTCTGATGAACAGGCAACAACGGGTGAAACTTGCAAGAGACTGTATGTCTGAATGGATTGACATTCCTTCCGGTGTCCCTCAAGGAACCAAATTGGGACCTTGGTTATTCATCCTAATGATAAATGACCTACGCCCCCCACATCATGAGCGATGGAAATACATCGATGATGCTACGGTATCTGAAATCATTTATATCAACACACCCAGTAAAATTCAAGATACAGTCGATTGTGTTCAAAATTGGTCTGTAGAAAACAAGATGCAATTAAATGCCTCCAAGTGCAAGGAACTTGTTATCAGTTTTACAAAACCTGAGAAAGAATTTCCGCGCCTTAAGATCATCTCAGGCCAAATCGAGACAGTGAACCACGCAAGAATCTTAGGTTTGACAATTTCTAAAGATCTAAAATGGAACCAACACATAACTAACATAGTTAAGAAGGCGAACAAACGGATTTATTTTATTATTCAGTTGAAACGTGCTCATGTACCTGAAGCTGACATAATACATTTTTACACTACCTGCGTCAGACCAGTCATGGAATTCAGCTGTCAAGTTTTCCACTTCGCCCTTCCTTCCTACTTATCTAATGCCCTGGAACGGGTTCAAAAGCGTGTTTTATCAATCATCTATCTACTGACAGGTTATGCGGATTGTTTACAAAAATCGGGCATCAAACCATTAAGTGACAGGCGTGTGGATGCATGCGAGAAACTGTTTAATGAAATCACCACAACACCAGTAGCTAATATGCATAATCATGTACCATCTAGATACTTTCCAAATTACGACCTTAGACACTCAAGGTCTTTTGTTGTTCCTCAGACCAAAACGAACAGATTTAGAAACATTTTTTCCCTTCATCTGCAAGGCATATCAATAATATTAACTGACAATCGATTCTGATATTCAGTTTTAGACTGGCTAACATTTTTTTAGAAATTTACTAGTTTCATAGTTAATTTGTAATGTAACTTTAAACTTCTGTAATATAGAATTATAAATTGTAATGTAATTTTAAACTTCTGTAAATATAGAATAACTAATTTTAATAATTTCTCTTGTAAAATTTAGCACGCAATTCAGCCTTATTGGCTGCTATGTGTTAATCTTATTAAACAAACAATCTATCTATCTATCTAACCTAAGTCACGTTCGGTCCAATCTGCTGGGTCGACCCAAATGCGGAAAAAGTTGCGCTTGAGTTTTGGTCGTTCCTCTTTTGTTGGAAATTGGGAAATTAGGTTTAGGAGTAGTAGACACTGGTGGTGCTATCTCGACAGATTCATTGGGTTCTGGCATCTCTACAGGCGTTTGTGGGATACTTTGAGTAGAGGTTTCAGGAATTCCAGGAGAAGAATGAGCCATCTCATTTTTGAAAGTCAGAAACCGATTTAGTTGATCAGAGTAAAGCTTGCTTTTTTCCACCACAGAAAGTTGTGGCGCTTCATATACAAGAGTGTACAGCTTTATATACAAGAGTGTTATATGCATGCATAATTAAGTATATTACATAATACTACACCTCCCTTTCTAAGTTCTAAATATTAAATATATAACTAAAGGGGAACATGGGGTGGAACATAATTCGCGTAGACCACGCGAGACAACACGCATGAATCAATGGGTAAAAATGGCGAGAAAATTTCATGCCCACTTTCAAAATGGCCGAGAGTGAAGACAACCTGTCGAATATCGAGTCAGAAGACGAAGAAATGGCACGTATATCGGACGGCAGACACGCGAAAAATACAATAAAGGCAACAAAAAATGCTCTAAAAACATTCTTAGACGCAGTAGGGGATGTAGAAGGACTCGCAGATAAAAGAATGCTCGACAAAAGTTTTTTGCTAACGCCAAAAAGAAAGACGGTACAAAATTTAAAGCAAGTTCTCTTTTAACCTTGCGACAAGGGGTACCTGTATCCAAGATGGCGGAAGCAAAATTTTTAGCTCCGCTAAATATTTGATATTTTTTCTATAAATTGTGCTTATTTTTGTTGCTTATTTTTGTTTATTATTATATATTACACTATCTATTGAACTACATTGTATGATGCCACCTAAAAAGAAAGAAGCTAAACAGTAGCCAGACTTATCGCTTGTTGGTGACTCCATTGATTCGTCATTGCCTTCAATCCAAGTCTTTAAAGACATGCTTGACAGTCGACTCAACATGCAAGAAAAAAATATTGAAGCCCAGATAAAGGATCTTAGTGATGTTGTCCGCAAGCAACATAAAAAGTCTCAAGAAGAAATGCTAGTCATTCAAAATAGCCAAAATTTTATTGGTGCTAAATTCGATGAACTATTAGCTGCAGTAAACTCATTAAAAGAGGAAAACAAACAGTTGAAAGTCGAAAATGAAAAATTAAAGGACGAGATGAATCAAATGAGTTCGAAAATACTTGAGTTAGAGGAAGCGCAAGAAGATCTTAAATTATATTCTCAAAGGGATTGCCTGGAATTCCATGGCGTACCCGAAATGCCAAGTGAGAATACCGATGAGTTGGTTACTGAAATGTGTAAGTTAATTGCAGTCGACATTCAAGCTTCAGATGTCTCAGTGAGTCATCGTTTACCATCTAGAAAAGGTACTACGCCTCCAATAATTGCTAAATTTACCAGTCGAAACATCCATGGCTAGAAATAAAGAACAGTATGGCGGCTCGCTTTGTCAAAATATGCGCAGATCTAACAAATTTTATGAATTCAAGATGGCGGAAATATAGAGCGTTAATAGTATAAACATATAAAATCGATGCGCATACAGAAAGAGTGTAAAATTTTCAAGTTGCTCACGTCTACAAATCTATAAAATACCTCAATAGTGTTGTCTTGCAAACTCTCGACCTCTCACGATTTGCTATTAGCCGGCCCGAGTGACCCCATTTGCCGATATTTTCTGCTAATGTAAACCCATTAAAACGGCGAAATCCGAGTTTAGGTGCTATGTTCAGTCCGGTATAGTTTCGTTCGAGAAGAAGTCAGACAAAATGCTCACGTCTATATTTTCTATACGATGTTCAAGCTGTTATTTTGCGTTGCTTTAGAAGCTCCTTAGCTTGTATTCGTACGGCCAAATGGTTTTAAAATCGTCTGTTTTTTAACAAACTGCAAGCTTAAATTTTCACAACCGTAGAGTTTGTAGTGAAGAACAGCTGCGAAATTTTCCAAAATTTCGTTCGTACCACTGTGGCTTTTACGCCATTTTGTACACATTGATGTTAATAGCCGCTGGCCGATTAAGGGTGATACACAATGGCTCAAAATAGCGCGAAAATTGAAAATAATAGAGCGAAAATTGGAAAATATTTACAATATATATTTTGCTGTCGAAATACGAGACGTCGATTGTGCTCAGAGGATTGTGCTTAAAAGTCGACCGTACTCAAATTAAGCAACAAATGATAAAAAGACATATTCAATATTCATAAAAGGCTTGAATAAAAGGCATAAAATGCCATATATATTCACTCATGTGAATCAATTTTATCATTCCTTAGTCAGCGCTGTGTCTCGCGGGTGCATAATTTCCCTAAATTCGACGCCCGCGATGCGTGGCGCTGACTGTCCTTCATTTCTAGCCATGCAGAGATGTTGTATACCATAATAAAGGTCGTTTGAGAGGTCTCAACTCATCAAATTTTGTTGGTTTTTCGCAATCAGTGAATAAATTATATATTAACGAAAGCTTGACTCCTAAAGCCAAGGAGCTGTTTTATAAAGTCAGGGAATTCCGAAGAAAATATAATTTCAAGTATGCTTGGACCAAATATGGCAAGTCCTATATGAAGAAAACTGATACTGATGCTGCTGTATCATTCAAATCAATGAAGGAGTTTGAGTTGTTCAGTGCAAATTTTACACCCTAGCTCTCTATGAAGCTAAGTAATTCTAAATAATTAATGTATATTAATTTTATTTATAATGCAGTCTTCAATGTTAATGAATGCTTTTGCCTTTTCATGGTCTTGACGACTCTGAATTTTTCTTAGAAATGTTTGAGTTAAAAAACGGCCCTATTAATTTCAGTCATGAGAGATTAATCAGTTTAAATTATAATCCATTGATTTCGGGTGCAGGCCATCGCCCCTTTCTGTCTAATGATCTGGACCCAGATTCAAATTTTTATGATAATTTCGTTAACCACTGCGATTATTTTGTTGAAGATCAGTTTAACAAAATGTTAAATTCACAGATTTCCTGTGCTCCCAGTTTTTCATTATTTCATCTAAACATTCGCAGTCTTGAAAGTAATTTATCAAATTTAACAAATTTATTAAGTACTTTGAATAATGAATTTTCAGTAATTGGGATAACTGAAACTTGGCTAAAAAACTCAGAACACTCTGTTGATATTGAGGGATATAATTTTTTTCATAAACACAGTGTTAATAAAATTGGTGGAGGTGTTGGTTTGTACTTGTCGGATTGCTTTACCTCTAAAATACGTACTGATTTAATCTTTGATGATGATGATGTTGCGGAATCCTTATTTATTGAAGTTTGCATACCACATGGTAAAAATATCGTTATTGGAATAATTTATCGACCACCAAATCAAAATGCCAATTCTTTTCTAAGCAAGTATAATGATATAATAGGAAAAATATCTAATGAAAATAAAACCTGTTATATAATGGGGGATTTTAACCTAAATTTATTGAACTATGACAGTCATTCCTTGACTTGTGAATTTTTAGATGGAATGTATTCAAATATGTTTATTCCACTTATAACTTGTCCAACAAGAATAACAGCTCATACTTCAACATTAATCGATAACATATTTACGAACAACTTTTCTTCCATATGTACAAGTGGCCTGTTATTTACAGATATTTCTGATCACTTGCCTGTGTTTTCAATTAGCTGCGAAGCCATGAATTATTGTGATAATACTAATGAAAAAATTACTTTCAGAGATAAAAACAAAACTAATATAAATAAATTCATTGAGCAATTGAGTAGTATTAACTGGTCCCAACTTAAATACTATCATGACCCTTACAATTCTTACAATACTTTTTTAGCTAAGTATACAGAAATTTATAACAACTGTTTTCCTTTAAGAAGAATAAAGATAAAACATCACAAGATTGACAAGCCTTGGTTATCAAAAGGTTTGCTAAGATCCATAAAAAGGAAAAATAAACTATATAAACAATATATAAGTGACCCAACTCTTGCTAATGAGATATCTTACAAAAGGTATAAAAACAAATTGACCCACTCTTTGAGAATTGCTAAATCATTATATTACACAAAAAGATTAGAAAATGAGAAATCAAACATTAAATCTATTTGGAAGACACTTAATGAAGTCATAAATAAGAAGCGATCAAAATTGAAATTCCCATCATCATTTAAAGTAGATAATTTTGAAATTTCTGATCCTATTGAAATTGCTAATAGATTTTGTAACCATTTCTCAAATATAGGTCCAAATCTTGCTAAAAGAATACAATCTACTCCTAACTCTCATCTAAATTCTCTTGTAGGCCAATATCCTAATTCCATATTTTTTAACCCGGCAACAGAAAATGAAATCATTGAGATTTCTAAAAGTTTTCAATCAAACAAAACATTTGGATATGACAAACTTCCCATGTTAATAATAAAGCAAACTATAAACATAATTGCTAAACCTCTAACTCATATTATCAACTTATCAATTACTCATGGTATTGTGCCAAATGAAATGAAGATTGCTCGTGTTATTCCCCTGTTTAAATCAGGTGATAGAACATTATTTACAAATTATAGACCAATTTCTATTCTTCCTTGTTTCTCCAAATTTCTGGAAAGAGTTATATATAACCGGATGTTAAATTACCTAAATAAAAATAGTATCTTGTCTGAAAACCAATATGGTTTTAGAAAAAACCATTCCACTTCTTTAGCCCTGGTGGATCTTTATGATAAAATATCACTAGCAATTGATCAAAAACAGTTTGCAGTTGGTGTATTTTTAGACTTATCTAAAGCCTTTGACACTTTAGACCACAATATTCTTTTTGATACGCTTGACCATTACGGAATTCGTGGATTAGCTTTGGATTGGATGAAGAGTTATTTCTCAAATAGAACACAATTCGTTCAATTTAATGATTACTGCTCCTGTCTTAATAAAATACAATGTGGGGTCCCACAAGGTTCTATCCTTGGTCCGCTGCTCTTTTTAATATATATCAATGATATAATCCATGTGTCAAGTATATTGGAGGTTATCTTATTTGCGGATGATACAAACTTATTTATTTCGAATAAAGACCCAAAAGAATTAACTAATATTTTGAATATTGAAATTAGAAAACTGTCATACTGGTTTAAATCAAGTAAGCTTTCATTAAACTTAGAAAAAACAAAATTTATTGTATTTAAACCAAGACAAAAGAAATATAATTATACTTTTCAAATAATCATTAATAATGAGTATATTAAGCAAGTGAAAGAAACTGTCTTTTTAGGGGTAGTATTGGATGAGGAATTATCTTGGAAATCACACATTTCGTATGTAGCACGTAAAATGTCTAAATCCATAGGAATAATGTTAAGAGCCAGTTTTTATCTACTTAAGAAATCCTTACTCACTTCGTACTATTCAATTGTTTACCCGTATATCCAATATTGTAATATTGTTTGGGCTTCAACGTATCCAAATAATCTTCATCGTATCAATATACTGCAAAAGCGAACAATTAGAATTCTAAATAAATGTAAATTTGATGCACATACAGAACCTTTATTTAAGAACTGTTCTATCCTTAAAGTTAATGATATTCTTCCATTTCAACTGGGTAAATTTATGTACTCTTATCGCAGTGGTCTTTTACCAAATAAATTTAATGACATGTTTCTATCAAATTATCAAGTCCACTCATATAATACAAGGAGTGCGATGGCCATTAGAACTCCATTGTGTCGTACAAATATCCGTCAATTTTCTG